CATGTATTTGGACTTTATCATCACACCTTAGTTCACGTGACATTCATGTATATTGGACTTTATCATCACACCTTAGTTCACGTGACATTCATGTATATTGGACTTTATCATCACACCTTAGTTCACGTGACATTCATGTATATTGGACTTTATCATCACACCTTAGTTCACGTGACATTCATGTATATTGGACTTTATCATCACACCTTAGTTCACGTGACATTCATGTATATTGGACTTTATCATCACACCTTAGACCACGTGACATTCATGTATATTGGACTACAACCCCCTGTCCTTGACACCCCATCCAAGAAGATTGCCCCCACGGCCAAGTTACTAATTTCTAAGTTTTTTAGTTTTGGACGAGTTTTACGGCACTACCCGAAGATTAAGACTAGAGGTGTTACAAGAGAGTAACAAACACAAAGAAAGAAGGAGGAGAGATAAGGACGCTAGATGTTTGATAGGAAAGAAGGAGGAGAGATAAGGACGCTAGATGTTTGATAGGAAAGAAGGAGGAGAGATAAGGACGCTAGATGTTTGATAGGAAAGAAGGAGGAGAGATCAGGACGATAGATGTTTGATAGGAAAGAAGGAGGAGAGATAAGGACGCTAGATGTTTGATAGGAAAGAAGGAGGAGAGATAAGGACGCTAGATGTTTGATAGGAAAGAAGGAGGAGAGATAAGGACGCTAGATGTTTGATAGGAAAGAAGGAGGAGAGATCAGGATGATAGATGTTTGATAGGACAGAAGGAGGAGAGATAAGGACGATAGATGTTTGATAGGAAAGAAGGAGGGTAGATAAGGACGCTAGATGTTTGATAGGAAAGAAGGAGGAGAGGTCAGGACGATAGATGTTTGACAAGAAAGAAGGAGGGTAGATAAGGACGCTAGATGTTTTGACAAGAAATAAGGAGCAAACCACACGAGAACACCCACCGACCACCCACTAAGAATTTCTAAGCCAGTTTACTAATTCTCTCTATCTGTTGATCACTAAAACATATCTTATTTAACCTTTTAAAAAACCCACACACACTCCAAAACAAAGAAGGTCAGGAGCACAATATGGCCTACATCTACATTGCTACAATAGGTGCATAATGTGGCCTACATCTACATTGCTACAATAGGTGCATAATGTGGCCTACATCTACATTGTAACAATAGGAGCACAATATGGCCTACATCTACATTGCTACAATAGGTGCATATTGTGGCCTACATCTACATTGTAACAATAGGAGCACAATATGGCCTACATCTACATTGCTACAATAGGTGCATAATGTGGCCTACATCTACATTGTAACAATAGGAGCACAATATGGCCTACATCTACATTGCTACAATAGGAGCATAATGTGGCCTACATCTACATTGTAACAATAGGAGCACAATATGGCCTACATCTACATTGTAACAATAGGAGCATAATGTGGCCTACATCTACATTGTAACAATAGGAGCATAATGTGGCCTACATCTACATTGTAACAATAGGAGCATAATGTGGCCTACATCTACATTGTAACAATAGGAGCATAATGTGGCCTACATCTACATTGCTCTAATAGGTGCACAATATGGCCTACATCTACATTGTAACAATAGGTGCACAATATGGCCTACATCTACATTGTAACAATAGGAGCATAATGTGGCCTACATCTACATTGTAACAATAGGAGCATAATG